CACACACACACACACACACACACACACTCTCACAAAATCTTTGTTTTAATCTCATTTTACAGAGATGTAAACAACTGAAACACAGTGAAGTCAGACATTAGAGCTGGCATATATCTGTGCACATATGTGTGTTTAAATAAAGGCATAAACAGCGAGCGGTCACGCCTCTTCCCACCCCCTATATACACACATACACACCACCACCACCACCACCACCACCACGTTGATTTTCTTCTCTTTACAAAGTAGTCGAGCAGCTAAATAAAGTTATAATTTTTTAAAAGTTATGTTTGCTTATTTTTACATGTAGTCACTTCAGTTATAATGTGCTAATTTAATAACCTGATAATGAATAATGCATTTCTACCTTGGTACCCCCACACTTTTTGCGAATTAGGCAGTGGTGAAGAATTGTTTTAAAAACATACTAACAATGTGAAAATCACTGGTATTTCATGAAGAACTATTTAAAGAAACTCACCTCCCTCCCGCCAAAAAAAAAAAAAGGAATAAATGGCTTTTTTTAGAAGAAATAAAATGTATTTATAAAATTTGCCACCTATTCCTTTTAGTTAATCTTTTCATTGTCCCTATAACAGCACAGCTAGCGTCCATCTAATGGTCAGTCACTTCCTAAAGGACGAACTCTAACTGCACTACACTCTACATAATCTCAGCTTAATGAACTGTAACATTCTAACATGGCCAGTACATATAAAATGTCACCACTAAAACAAGTGTAAGTTCAAACATCTGGCTAGGTCCTTATTAAATGAAATTTTAAAAAGGGTGTCCTTATTCATAACAACAGCCAGGGGGGAAAGAATATGGTTACATGTCAAGGGTGGATAATATCAGTCACATATACATTTGTGTTTGCTACAAAGATGAACTTTTCACCAAACGATATAAAGGGAAAAAACAGCTCTATTTACCTTGCTGGCACTTAACCGCTTCCGATTTGACCAACGCTAAGGATCGTGTCCACGGAATGGTGACGCATGGCAAAGGGAAAGAGACAAACAGAATCATTAACAATACAATTACATCCTTATATTCGTTAGATGGTGTAGATCACATTCAAATGACAAGTTCCCAAGTTTTGAGGTTACAGAGAAAACACATTTGGGAAGGAAGGCAGTTAAAAACAAAAAAAATCACTTTTCTGTGGTTGAGTTACGTTATTCTCTCACAGTATTTTCAACAATGAAAATATAAGGAGAAACAAATATTGCTCAGTCTTTAGAAGTCCATTTATGTTTTTAATTGCCTTAAAACATTGTCATTTTACCTCTGAAAACAAAGTGGAAAGGCAGATTTCTCCTACTTGAAATATTCAGATGATATTATGAAAATATTTAAGAAATTCATGAATGATGTTAATTCATGCATAGGTTTCCATAGGTTTAGATACTAGAAAAAGAATTCCATTTACCTCCACTGATTAAATGTCAATATTTCAAATAATAGGAAAAAAAAATCTGAGTCATTCCTGCACAATGAAGAAAAATAGGCTAATATAGCACTGAGAAATGGAAGAAAACAGTTTTCTGAACAGCAAGTAACTTCACCACTGTTCTCTTTTGATCTCCCATTTGTCATGCTAAGGCAGCTGAATTTCATCTACAATTAAAATTCTCTCATAGCAAAATCCTCTCATCACTCCTATCATCATCCAGTACTGGGAAGCTCTACTCTGGCTGGTTAACCAGCTAACTAGATGTTAAAACTCGAATAAATTTGGGAAATTACAACTCAATTATGAATCTAATCGAGCAGACCACATTTACTATTATGCTTAAGGAAAAAAAAAATAAAACACCTTTAGGCAAATGACCTATCCACTTTGCCAATACGTCTCCCCAAGAAATGAGTAACCAGAAAAGAAATAGTCTTTGGTGGGAAATGCACTGACACGCCAGTGAACAGCAACTAGAAACATTGGTACAGAAATGACGAGAAAATATTCTCCGTTAAAAGCTCTTCAGCTGGTGAGATTGGGAGTTCAACATTCAGCACATGACATGGAGTTGCAGACACTACAATCTAGGTATTAAAATGAGTCCTTTTTGTATTATCTCAACAACATATCGGTAAGTGTTTTTACCCAAAACAAACACCAAAATTAATTACTATCGTATAGGTACACAAGGCTATTTAGGGTCTTTCAACATATAATTCATTTGATTTTTTTTATAACAAGCATAAAAGATAAATAAAGTGGATATAGAAATTAATGGAAAATGACTATTATTGTTTGATTATTATAATAGGAAGAGCCGCCATATATCAAGTACCTAACCCATGCCAACCTCTATATTTGATCCTCTCAATCTTCACAATTCTGTGAAATAGATAACCTTTTTTATCCCCATTTCACACATGAGGAAATTGTAGCTGAGAAGGGTTAGGTGACTCTGTGAATTTGACCTTATCACTTAACTTCTCAAAACTAAAAAATATTGGAGCTGGGATTCAAACCCAGGCAGTCTGATGACAGAGCCCATAATTCTAATTACAATTCTATTTTTGCCATAAACAAACAAACAAACAAATAAATAAAAACAGATTCTAACTTCAATCCTATTTTTGCCAAAAAAATAAATAAATAAAAATAGATTTCAGGTGTGTCTGCCTTCCAGCCACTGCCTTACCGTCTAACTCTACCATGCCTGCAGATACTTAAATTCCTAGCATGAAGGTTAATTCACAGACATGTTACACATGTTAAGATTTTAGCCAGCTTGGTTCTAAAACAGCAAAGACTGCCTCAGTAATAACAGGAAGACATATGGGTACGAAAATGAGAATTCAAACTGAAATCTCTCCATCAGACTTTTCATTAAAAGGGAAATTTACAAATTATTCCCAATCAATAAACTATTGTCATCCCAGTCTTGAGTGTTAGTTATTCCCATTTAAAACCCCAATATAAGAATGTCTTTAAATATTAACTTAGACTCAATTGAAAACACCAAACATTTTCTGATATCGGTTATGTCCAGAAGGCCCCTGATATGCACTGTAAGTCGAATCACCCCCCCAGGATAAATTATTCCTTGCTTGGGTATATGTTGATCAACTGTATAAACAGAAAAATAAAACTACCGATTAGAACAAATGAGAGCAGGCAGAGTTTTCTATATTATAATACCATATATATATATATTACATGGTACACTAGATCCCTGCCAGACAAACAAAGAACAAAGATAATGAGACTGTGTTTGAGCAAGTAGATAGACAGTCAGACAAACCCTCAAAAACAGGAGGTGAGGACTCAGGAAAAAAGAGCCAAATTAAATAAAATGACAAGTGTGGCCACTTTTAGGACTCTGAAAAGATATTCTTTGAGATGTTTTACAAAAGCACTCAAGCTGCATCTAATAGTAATTTCTCTGCAACCTGAAATGCATAACTAAGACAGCGTTACTTTAAAACTCCAAATGTTTGCAATATTTACATATATCTCAAGTGTCAGTATTAATGCTAAACATAATCCAATACACTACAGAAAAGATTTACAAGCAAAATAAATGTGGAGCTATAATGCAGCTTAAATATGTGACTGTTTTCATGGGGAAATCATGCAACTTAACAAACCCCATTTAAATAGGTAAGAAATTATTAGAACATATCAGCTCAACCATGTGACAAATGACACTTATTTACATTGCATGCTATTTTAACCTGGCATCCAGCTCAAGTAACCAGTCAACCACTGCTCACATTGATACTGACTCCACTGGTAATACTGCCCAGACGAAGGAAAGCTAGAGAAAATCCCTTCTTCGTTATATCAGAAAGAAAAATAAATTTATTTTCAACAGCAATTTAAGATATTTCAACATCAAAATATCAGCTTTAGAGGGGTCTCAAATATTAACAGTGCCACTTTTGAAAAAAAAAATAAATGGAGTTTTGTTGGTTTTTTTCTCCAATTATTGTCAAGCAAATTCTCATAAGTAAAGATTTTGAATTAAAAACAGCAACTATTTAGTTGACCATTGGGGAATTGAAAAGTCACCGTGCAGTTTTCCTACTTCTTTAAGCCATTTTCCATGAGTTTACTGGTAAATCAGTCCTGATTTTCATCATGAAAATAAATTACAACTACAAGCAAAGTGATGTCAAAATGAAGGATATTCTCCTCATTGCCCCCAATGACTCAATTCAAGTGTATTATTGGAGGCCTAATTTATAAACAGGCTTCAGATTTCTTGCTAGATTACCAACATGCTAAATTTTAACACATCTTAGTCCTTTTTTCAAGGAAGTGTTTTAGCTGAGCTTAAAAATACCTTTCAAATAAGTTACAATCAAAGGTACTTTTTGTTCTTATTTCAGTGCTTGGCGTTACAAAGTATAATCTCTGAATATAAAACACAATTATGATTTGTAGTCACATATTTGCTCCTGAGAACAGAGTCCCAATCACATTATCACAAAATCCAGCACTTTGTTGATGGTCCAGAAATCATCAATGGGAAATGCATTCACTAGAAATTTCCATATAATAGACCAGAGAACTCTAAAATTTGTAATTTCCAAAAAGTACTCTCGGAAGAGAACTTGGGAGCTAAGAGAAAAAAAAGAAGACACTGAAACGCTACAATGTGATACTGATCCCCTAATAATGTACAATACGATCATTAAACCCTGGGAGCTGCTTTTTCATAACTGAATAATGCCCAAGTCATCTGGCACTTAAGAAAACTGTAAATGGAAACCTTAACACTTAGTAAAATTATATTTCAGATGATCTGTTACAAGCAAACCTTATAAGCAGCATGTACATTTTAAGAATAGCAATACTACTCACATTTCTAGCCAAAACAGACAGAATGCCTTGATAGATTTTTCTTCCCGATGATGCAAAAGAGAGGATATATATAACCTCAAGAACCTATATCCACAGATAGGTTCCTTACATCGCTATAAAATTATTTGTACCCCCACCAAAAAAAAAAAATTACATTAATATCAGTCATCCGGTAGCCCAGTCATCAAAGGATAATTGCAATGAAAGATTTAAAAAGAAAAAAGATCACACTTACATGTCTCTTGAAATCACCCTGCTTTATAACGAGGTTCAAATTTAACACAATCACTCCCATGTCATCTTCTAAACTGTTCGGGTCTTCCAATTTTAAAACGTGTTCGGTCATTCTACAAGCAAAAAACAACAAATAATGTTAGTAGTTGTTGCAGAACTAAGTAGTCTTATAATGAACGCTTCAGGAGTTTATGGTAAAAGCCTCCCAGCTCTGAATGAGGGTTAGACACAAGTTTTAAAAGCACCAAATTCAATGAAAATAAACCGACCGTCTTCAGGGCAGAGAAATTGCTTGGCATTGACTAAAACAACAGTTAGTTAACTGATTCTTCTCCCCTAAGTCCCAAATGAAGCTTAAATACTTGTTTTAATTTTAAGATAGGTAGGCTAATAAACCTGAATATTAACAAATTGGAAGTGCAAAATTCAATACCCATTTTACAACACATTACGGAGGATCTAATATCTGACCAGCACATTTGGGAGTTAAAAAATGACACTCATAGAAAAACCTACATTTTTAAAACACTCTTTCACGTATTTGGATTTCTTTTTTTCTTTTCTTTTCTTTTTGTCATTTGATCAAAACAAATGCCATTTAACATTATCTTGAGTTCCCTCCAAAATTCATTAAGAATAGGAAGAAGGTAAAAACACAATACCTGTTAAGTTCAAGATCACTGAGAATGACAAATGCAGAGCCCATGAAATCGGATGTAGTTAGGTCTCGGTCATATACCTTCAAAGAGGGAGGGGGCAGGAACACACATTAATATGGTAAACCAACTCAGTTTATCAAATGATTCCTAAAAGCACTAGGCTGGGGATTTTGCATTCCATCCTCTAGATATAAACATAATTTGCACAGTACAGTTACAGAGGAATTTAGCCAAAGCCAGTGGAGAGGACAAAATTATTCCAACTTGCCCCCACTTTGCCCATCACAGCCAAAAAAACAACAGCAGATAAAACTTCTAAGGCAGGATTCACGTGCATTACAATGTTATGCACGATGGCCCCGCTCTCTACAGTTTAAATGGTCTCTCATTAAAATTTAGTATTTTCCACAGTGAGCGGGTCTGCCAATTAAATAGAAATTTGCTAACTATTCTATAGCAATCCCATCCTGCACTCAACTCATGCAGTTTTCACCCAGATGTTAGAGCAATTGATGCTTACAACCGGTGGCTTAAAGCTCTATTAAGTATAAAGATATTCCTAATGAGAAAGACTTTCGTGCTTGGTGCCACAGCACTGGCAGTAATAATTCTTCCACATTCAGTAAGTTTCAATACAATCAATGGGGATACTAGTGTCTCTGATTTTCTGTACAGCGCATATCATCAACCTGAAAAAAAAAACGTGCAGTGTCGACAAAGAGTCCTTTTCATACTAAAATGTATAACCCGATGCTTAAGAAAAATAAAAGCATTAATTTGGGGAGGTTCACTTCTAAGAGGGCAAAGATTGCCGAGGAAGAAATGCTTTTTAAAACAAAAGAGCAGGTTGGAAAACCATCATGTGGTTACCTTTACACGTAGCTTTTGATCAAGGCTTTGGATTGGCAATACAACGATTTCATCCCAAACTGGGTTCAAGTTCTTATATATGACTTTACTTTTGTACAGGGTCTTCCCGTTCAGCTTAAATTTCACGTAGGGATCGCTGGTGCCTTTAAACGAGAAAGAGAGCAAGACAGGGTTTTCCTCAAATAAACGTGAAAGCCTAGATTCTCCATTAAGTCAAGATTCTGGCTACACTGTCTGGTCTCAAAGCATTTCGCTGTGCGTGCCCAGAACAAATCTCTCCCTGTGCAGAGACTAAAGGCCCCAGAGGTGGAGAGGAGAGAGAAATGAAATAATTTGGGGGCAAATTCTTTTTTTGCCTTCCATGGTAGAATATAAATGGGCTCCTTAAGCTTTTTCTGTTTTGTTTCATTGTGGGTATGCCATCACTACCCTGCCCACAAAACATTCAAGAAATCAAACCCACTGGCACCAGCCAACAATGTCAGAGTCCTAGAGAGAGGCCCACCCCTCTTAAGAATGGCAGTAAGTCCGTGAAAAGGGAAAGAAACCGTTTTCTCAAACGTTTGGCCAGATGGCTGAGTTAACAGAATCCTGTACTTCAGGATATAATCATAATAAATAAATCCATGTCTGCAACTGCTGGCTCAAAAGATGGGGCAAGGGGACTAAAGCTGGAACTAGGGGCGTAGAGATTATATGGACAAAGTTGCCATTCTTTGCTGCCTGTCGCACCTGCAGTAACGCACAGAGAACATTGTCTCACCCCTGCCAGCTGAATGCTACATCAGCCAGGCCCTCAGCTGGCCCAGGGTGACACCCCTGACCTGCGGGCTCCTCCCAGGGAGCTTTGAAACAGACGCCAAAAGAAATGAATAATGTCCCTCCAGCCACGATGTCCCGAGCAGAAAAAAGGGCCGATGACGGACCCTCCTCCACACTTCTCAGATCAATGGAGGGGAAAAAATTTTTTAAGTGTCTGCAAATATAATGCATGGATTATGTGCTGTGCATGTGTGTTACATGTGTGCAAGTGTGCCACCATACTTTGAACATGTAACAATGACTGGGACACGCTTGTGCACGAATACCTAGTGAGTGATGAATAAAGACAGTGCAAAGGAATAAACAATAAGGGAAGAAATGAAAGCCAGCTGATAATGCTACAAGAAAAGAAAAAAAATGATATTATAATTGGGAAACACAGAACTACGAATAAATACACAAAGACCAACAGTCTGTGTTGGTCACTGATTTACCCCAGGCCTCTTGGACAGTGCCCAAGATGGGCTCCCGTAAATTTATTGACAAATTCCTGATATTAAAATCAAGCCAACAGAGTCTAAGAAAGTAGATCAAACATCAATTAGGCTACTCCATCACAGACATTTACCACATTGTTAATACCCATCACTACTTCCACCTTTTATTTTTTTCAGCCCCCTTTCATGTTTCTATGTAGCTGCAGAGAACTAAAAACTACTGAACAACGAAAGCAATACATTTCCCAGCAGTTTTAACGGGAAGTCACATCCCTATGGAATAAGATAATACACGCTGTTTGCAGAGGCTTAACCGATGAGCCGAGGTGTAAGTTTGATAAGTTAGCCTTCCAGTATCACAAAGAAAGTGAACTACCAATATACACATAGATATGCAAGTATTCAAATCTCCCATTTTAAGTTTGGCCACACAGGGGCACAAGTCCTGCAGTCTTTATTTTAAACTTGCACACAGACACAGACAACACACACACACACACACATCCTATGTTAAGTGGCGGTTCTGAGTGGGAGAGTAAAAAAATGAATGCATTCCCAGCCATTCAGTGGAACACTCAGTAGTGAGTGAGGAATCTGCCCACCCCCACACCCCCTTTTTATAGTACAGGAGAACCCCTCTGGCAAGTCAGACTTTAACAATCATTCTGATACATACATATATATATATATATATATATAAAGTGGAGAGAAAACTATAATAAAAAGAGGCCTTTAATTAAATGAAATTGCCACTCTGGGATCAGGGCTTCACGCTTGTCAGCGTACTCTCAAAATAAACATCTCAAAACTAGGCCTCGGCGGTGTCAGTTTCTCACAGGCAAAGCATCCTGGGTAATCCCCAGGCATCTTGACAGCTACATAATGTTCAAACTGTTTCACGGGTGAATGGCGGCAGTTGCGTGAAAGAAAATATTAATGTCTGGAATTAATAGAAAAAGGGGCCGGGGGTTTACAAAGCCAAACAAGGAAAGAGGGTGTCAAGTTAGTGCGGCGTTAATTGTTAGGGAAAATTGGAGAAAGCAGGGAGCACAGTGTGGTTTTTTTTGTTTTTTTTTTTCTCTCCCCGAGCCTAAGTGCCTCACTGTCAGGGATGTGATATCTCAACTAGGCAGGTTCTGAAAAGGGGTCGGCTGCTCAGAAACGCAACTCCCAGATTATACAGATGATGAGATGACACCTGAATGGCTGGACTTTAACCTTTTTTCACTGGGAGCTTCAGAAACAAGGAGGCTCCTTGGAATAGAGGGAGGGGCAGGGTGGCGATTTGGGAGGAGAATCAAGCTAGGAGGCCCCCAGTGGTGCCTCCAGGCCAGGGCTGCCTCCATCCTGGCGTGCCACCAAGTCTGTCATGCAGACCTCACGGAGTGACGCAACCTCAAATTTAGACTATCCAGGCGTTAAGCACCAGTGGCCCCAGTTTCCTGCTCTGTCCCACATACACTGTGGTCCTATGTATGCTGAGAGAGACTAACAGCCATTTACTGGTCCTCCAAAAATGCTGTGCCAATGTACACACCTGACAACACATGTCACAGTCTTTATTTCTGCCCATGCTCAGCGACACCACGGACTGTCAAGTCTTCCTTGATTCTGTACCTGTCGAGCCGGCTCACGTGCCACAAACTTGTACAAGTGACAGTGCATCGCTCAGTGCTAGGTACTATGTGGGGGATGGGGATGGGGGGGAGGGTTACAAAGGAAAATTAATCCCAGACCCTTGTATTCTGCACCTGACGAACAGCAAGCATACTGTAAATACAACGCGGAAGGGCCGGCCAAGTGGCGCATTGGTTAAGAGCTGGCTTGGGATACCAGCTCTGAGCAGCAGGGCACTGGTTCGGATCCCACATGAGGGCCAGTGACACTGCACCCTCTACAGCTAAGATGGTGAACAACAGCTCGACCTGGAGCTGGGTTGCAGTGAGTCTCCGGCTACGGCCTAGGCTGCAGCCCCTGCTGCAGTGGGCTGCCGTGAGCTACCGTGTCCGTCTGGCAGCTGGTGTGAGCTGCCAAGAGCCGCCATGAGCGGGTCGTCCAGAGGCCAGCGACTGATCTGCCTCAGCCGGGAAGAGTGCAATGATAATACCAACATGGGCCAGTGAAGCGACGTCCTCCACAACTAGACTGAAGAACAAAAGGACAGCAACTTGTCTGTTCCCCTTCCCCTGATTCCCCAGCGCTGTTCCCCTCCCCCAATTCCCCAATGAAATCTTAAAAAAAAAAATACAACGCAGAAGGTAAGTGTCAAAATGGAATTGAACTTGGGAGTTATGCTAGGTCACAGGCAGGGGAGGTTTGTCTTAGCTGAGGTTACCCATGGAGGCCGAAGTAGGGATGGGAGTTGAAATGTGGGTGGGTCTGAACATGCAGAGGATGGAGGACATTTCGACAGGAAGAACTGGCACAGGACAGGCGGGAGGAGAAGGGGGCCCAAGTGACCAGATCTGTAGAGGGCCAAGCAAGCATTTCCATGTATCCAGGAATGAGGGGAATATATATCTATATATCTATATATATCTATATAGATATATAGATATATAGATATATATATACGTATATATCTATATATCTATATATATAGATATATATATAGATATATATATATAAAATGAGAAATACAGTTTAAAAGGCAGGCTTCGGTCAGAAACCGAAAGTGCCCTAAAATAACAAAATAAGGAGTTTAGTTTTTGTTCTGTAAAAAAAATACAGGGTGCTCTTTTTTTTGTTCGTTTTTCTGTTCTCTTTCTTTTTTCATATTTTAACAATATGTTAAGACAAGCACACATCTCTGAAAGGTATGGAATAAAAAGTCAAGCCTCTACTCTTTTACCTTTCCTCAGTCCCCACTCCTGTAATGTACCAGTTTCTTGGGTATTTTACAGGGAAAAAAAATAATACAAGAATTGTTTCTAACTCATTTAATTATATTATATACACTGAACTTCATGCTTTCACAACTAAAGTACCTTGGAGTTCTGTTCATATCAGCAATACAGATTCACCGGTTTTCGGGTTTTTTAAATCAACTGCAGAAATTATTATTGTGTTGTTGTGTCTTATGTAACCAGTAGCCAAACAACGGACATTTACATCACTTCCATTTTTTTTTTAGTACTACAAACAATAGTACAATAAGCAACCATGTATGACTATTTTAGGTTTCATAAGTGATTACGTTTAAAAGAAATTTTTAACATTGGACCTGCTGGGCAAATTAATATCTGCCTTTTCTGGTTCAGACAGACATTGTCAAATTGTTCTTCCAAAATCTGTCAAATTTACACTCCCATCAACTCATAGCCATGCTAGAAAAAGTAGAAAGTCAAGATGCACTAAAAAAGAAAAAGAAAAAGAAAGGAACAAAGGAAGGGATGGAGGGATGAAGAGAGGCAAGAAGAAAATTACCACCATCTAGAAATCTAGAAAAGCTTAATATGTGTATATGTGTACTTCACACGCGCACACACACACTTTTCACAAAAAGCCTTCATATTGTGTGTTTTGCCTGTTTTCTTCAGTCAATAACACATCAGTCTCCTTCCATACCCATAAAAATGAGTCATTTATGAGTATATTTGTACATATATATACATAGAGAGAGACAGAGAGAAAGAGAGAGAGCCAAAAATGTATACGCATTTTAAGAAAGGAAAGAACTGTATTAAAATTGTAACACTCAATATATACCAATAACAAAAGACGAATACAAGTCCTGTGTATACATTATCTTGGCACCCCGGTATATATATGAAAACTTACTACATAACATATAAAAACTAGCATTACGCATTTGAACTAAAAACCCACCACACTAAATAATACAAAAGCAGTATTTGCAGGCAAAGCCTACTTATTTGCTATCA